GTATAGGTGCAAAACTACAACATGTCATCTATTAGTCCTGAAAACGACAACATTCTAGCTATTGTCGATTTTGAGTTTTTGTGTCGACAAAATGGACACTAAAAATTCGATTAAAGGTCGATAACTTCCGACCGGAAGTGATTTTTCAAAAATTAAAAAAAATGGATCAAGTTTAGATCATGATACATCATCTCTGAAAATTTCAAAGAAATCCGTCCACGCATCTCTGAGAAATCGTCTGCACAAAATTTGGACGAAAAAAAATAATAATAACTAGATATGATCTCGTTGCGAGCAACGAGGGGTCTTCCGTCCGATTCTGAAGTAAAAAACGAAAAATCTAACAGAAAAAGTGATAAAAAAAATTCGGACATTCGGGGGAGCGAACCCGGGTCGCCCGCGTGACAATCCGACGCACTAACCATTCCGCCATTGAAAACACCGCTTCAAATTTTTAAATACGAAAATCTCGAGATTACCTTTTTTAATTCTAAAACAAATTACATATTTCGCATTCGCAAAAGAGTCACTATTAAGAGATCTAATATAAAAGAAAAATATTGGAAAACAAAAAAGTTGAAAAATTGCGTTTTTTTAAATTCGCTTCCGGTATCGACCGGAAGCACTGACGGAAAATTTGAAAGTATAGTGCAAAACTACAACATGTCATCTATTAGTCCTGAAAATGACAAGATTCTAGCTTTTGTAGTTTTTGAGTTTTTGTGTCGACAAAATGGTCATTAAAAATTCGATTAAAGGTCGATAACTTCCGACCGGAAGTGATTTTTCAAAAATTAAAAAAATGGATCAAGTTTAGATCATGATACATCATATCTGAAAATTTCAAAGAAATCCGTCCACACATCTCTGAGAAATCTTCTGCACAAAAATTGTAAGAAAAAAAAAGGAAGAATAATAATAAAAGTGAAAAAGAAACAATAGAATAATAGAAGGGTCTTCCGTTGGAGACGGAAGACCCTAATAAAGGTAAAAAAGAAACCGAAGAATAATAGAAGGGTCTTCCGCTGAAGACGGAAGACCCTAATAAAGGTAAAAAAGAAACCGAAGAATAATAGAGGGGTCTTCCGCTGAAGACGGAAGACCCTAATAAAAAAAGTGAAAAAGAAACCGAAGAGGGTCTTCCGCTGAAGACGGAAGACCCTAATAAGAAGAAAAAAAGTGAAAAAGAAACAATAGAATAATAGGAGGGTCTTCCGTTGGAGACGGAAGACCCTAATAAGAAAGAGAGTAAAAACAATACGTTCCCAAACTCCGTTTGGGGAACATAATAACTAGTGCTAATTGTAACGGGAACCGTTACAGATGTTCCCCGAACGCTCCCAAACTCCCTTCTCGTGCCATATTCCCTGTAAGTTTCATTAAAGAAGGCAAAATCTATGCATTTAAGACGTAAAAAAACGTTTTCCCAAAACTATACCAAGTATTTCAAATTTAAGCAATGCAGGCGTGCGCATGTGATTGCATAAGCGTAATGACGATATCATCTTGTCTACACTATTTTACTCATTTGCACGTGCACGAACGTGCATGATGACCATACCTTCTTGTAGGAGTCCGTCTATCTATGTTCCTAATCCCATCCTGTTTGGTTGAAAAACAAGGGAGTTATAGCCATTTAAAGTTTAAGCCAATCAGATTGCAGCGCACATGCATGCGCGTGTTTTCATTACAATTCTTATATATCATATTTTAGGACATCTCAAAGTATGCTTATGTTTTAAATTTCAAAGCATTTCGAAAAAAAACAGAAAAGATATTGAGATTTTTGTTTCAGCCAATCAGAGCAAAACACACGTGCACGCACGTGCATGCATGTGAATTGTGACCATACTATCTTGTAGGAGTCCTTTATGTCTATCTATGTTCTAAATCTCATGCTGTTTGGTTGAAAACCAAGGGAGTTATAGTCATTTAAAGATTCAGCCAATCAGATTGCAGCGCACGTGCATGCGCGTGATGTGATAAAAAAATTGTAGTACATCCTAATGCATGTCTATGTTATAAATTTCAAAGCATTTCATCATAAAACAAAAAAGATATTAAGATTTCTGTTTCAGCCAATCAGAGCAAAGCGCACGTGCATGCGCGTGAGTTCATGCAAATTTGACCATGTCATCTTTTCTACACATCTTATATATCTTTATATAATGAGTTTCAAAATATTGTATCAAAAAATATAAAAGTTACAACCATATTAAATATATCGGTCATTTTACTCATTGCACGCGCCCGCACGTGCATGCGAATGCGCGCAAAATGACCTTCGTTCAGCACATCTACACAACATGCCTACTAACTCTAAAAAGGTTTTAACTTAGTTTGGTGAACAGTTTCTGAGAACACTTCCGGACAAAAAAGTACCGGAGAAGAAATAAGAAGAAAAAAGAATAATAATAATAATAGTAAGAAACAGAGTAAAAACAATATGTTCCCCAACTTCGTTTGGGGAACATAATAATAATCATAAGAAACAGAGTAAAAACAATATGTTCCCAAACTCCGTTTGGGGAACATAATAAGATGTTATTCGGATGTTAGATCCACTCGCATACTCGCTACACTAACATCTAACAATATCCCGTTGAGGATCATGTCAGAGGTCAACTTCGGAACAACTCGAGGTTTATTTGCTTGAACAAATATACGATGAATTTGCAGGCGAAGATTAGATTTGTTGATAGAATTTGACCTCTGACGTGACCCTCTATGAGGTGTTGTTAGATATTAGTGTAGCGAATATGCTGTGCGAGAGGATCTAACATCTAATTTTAATTAGATTGCTTAATTCTTTGAAAAACAAACTCAACAAAATTAAAAGAAAAACAGTTTATTATAACTTTTTAAGATAATAAATAAATTATATAATTATTCTAAAAAAGCATTTGATTGTGTTGACAATATATTAAGAAAGCATTAGAATAACGAAATAAAATAACAACAAATGTGTTCTTATAGAACAAATAAAACCAGATAACATTTCATATAATTCCTGGTGTTTACTTCACTCTATTCATTCTCCCCTTTAGAGATCTTTCAGAATTCCATTAGACACTATCTGTGGGTAGATTACATGAATGTGTACATGTATATATATTTTAATTTAAATTGAAAGAACTTTATTCGGTAATAACCAATATTTGCCCCCCAAATCAAACTTTGATGGAGATATATTTAATTAAGTTCTTAAACAGGGGAGTATATGCTGACTTCAAAGCACTGAATATTGTCTTCAGTAATGACGCCATATGTAAGTAATGACGTCACAAACATGACGTTGATTTCAGTTTTTTATGAATTTTACAGAAAAATGTACACATTTCGTCGATATTTTGAGTAAAAGTCACCGAGCGCATGTGTGTTAAGGATCAATATTTTGATATAATGTGTAGAATGATAATATCAATGAAATATGTCAATATTGTTCCTGAAGAAACTTGCGCTCTATAAATTTTAAAGCTAAAATTGTTGAAATTTTGTCCATTTTGTCCTCTTTCTGAAAAAGGATATAAAATCGGACTAGTTACTGACGTCATAAAAACAAAAATTGTGAATACACTGCTTTGACACTATAATATTTTCTGTTAATTTATATTTCTCATACAATTAATTGAATTCAGCACATTTCAGGAAGTTTTCAAAATTTGACTTTTGTGGGGGCAAATATATGCAATATACCGCATATAGTTCTTTCATCTCTTTTTCTGACACTACATAATCCTGGAATGTGTCCTTAAATAGAATATCCTTTCCATTAGTTCCTGCATATGGAGTTCTTTAGTTGGAGAAGATCGTTTCATTGTTACTTTTGAATGTTCTTGTAAAGATTTCTTTTATTGGTTTCTTGTAACTGATTTTTTCATTGGTTACCTCTGCTTAGACTTTCGAGTCACCGTATTGGTCGCTGGAGCCTTATGCTCCGCCTCCCAGGCCAGCTGGCGTTGCTTCTCTTTCTGTCTTTCCTTTTCTGCAGCCTAGAATTTCATCCAAAAGAAACTCTTATATTTTAGATCTTTCTACATTTCTTGTTAAGCAATCGATTAATTATATTGTTTCTATTATTATCTTGTTTCGCTTGAACAACTAGTAGATTTAAGAATTAGAATTATAGTGATCTGAATTACATGCTATCTCCAGTAAAGCACGAAGTACAATCATATTTTTTTCCTCATCTTATACCTTTAATTCGCTTTTCATTTTTCAAGATAGAAAATTTGGCTAAGCTACCTTAAAATCCTGCATATATAAAAAAACATTTCCCCACCTCTTCCTTCATTTTGTTGACAATGTAATCAACTTGAATACATAAAATCTCCACTTTTCGTTCGTTCGAGTCCTCCTTGTTTTGTAGACTTAGCGCTCGATTCAGGGGGAAGAAATCATAATTGTGCCTCTCAAGCTGGTTATAAACAAACAGCTCCAGGGTGGAGAAATCGTTAGGGCGGATCTCCGTCAGATGGATGAAGAAGAACAGATAGGACCACTGGTGATGTTCCGTTTTCACGTGTTTTTCAAAACCCTGAAAAAAGTTCAGTCAACATCTTGTATTCCATTCACTATGGGCAAAGAAAGAAACTGATTGATTTTCAAACAAGTATGTCAAATCGCATATTTTCATGTGGTCAAGTTGTCGAGGTTCGAGGGGAAAATATTGGTTTGTGGGGATTTAATTTTGTGGTTTAAAAACGTTTCGGCATATGACATTTTACATTTCGTGGTGGTCATAAGTTCGTGGGTATATCCATACCTCGAAAACAACGAAAATTAAATCAGATAAACTAATTCTTGTATTCTTGAAGTATAAGTAGAGGCCATATCACACTGTAGGTATTGTGAAGAAGAAATATAAATTTTCTTGCATAAAATAAGTACGCTGTATAAAAAAGAACTTTGTATAGAAAGTTTGCTGTCTATATTCATCGACTTTTGTGAACGTAAAAACATATGCTTGCATAAAAAATCTGTTAACATATAAACCAAGGAATGTTTTAGTCAAATTTGTTGTGCAGCCAGTGATAACATGATTCTAAGGCATGGCTATCTAGGGACTTTATCTATTTAAGGAATAACTGTCTTATTTTTCGATTTCATGATGTGATCAATCGATCGGGTTTTGTGATAATTTGCATAAACGCTGAAGGCGTTTATGCATAAAATTATCATGCAAGCCAATCGATTGATCATCGTCATGAAATTGAAAAATAAGACAGTTATTCCTTATATATACATGCTTTGATTCCGCCAATCCACGTGCTTCAAACCATGCTTCTGTCTAGCTTTTTGTTCCGCCCTGCACGTGGTTTTTTTGGAACCGCGCTAATACATTGATGGGAAAATAAAGTACATTTACAATTTGTAATTTTATCTCGAACAAAGACATTGGAAATATAAATATTCTCATACTAAGAAAATAGGACTTGGGTTTCAAATATGTATGCATTTTTATTTAAAACTAGATATTGATTACTGAAAACTTCAAAATTAAGCAGCTTTTACAAAAATGCGTGGATTACAACAGTAACAAAACAACAACAACATATATTTCTATGTTCCTTTTGATGTTTTGTAGCCAATAAAAATGTGATACCTGAAAAATCTAATGTTAAAAGTTTCCATCTTTTCGAAACATATTCTGAAAAGGGTTCTTAAAAACAAATTCAAGAGATGTGAACTGTCCTTGTTACGCGTATTTGTTTAATCTTTTTGAGCACTTTTAGCATAATATAATTTCAACTTTATTCTCAAGTAATTCTTACCCCGCCATGTCTTTCAAATTCGTAGGATTCCCTGCTGCAGATGAAGCAGTTATTCATCATATTTTTATCAATCTCCCACTGAAAAAAGAAAATGAAGCGTCGTGAAAATAATGATGGCTGATTCCTGATGTCACGTCTAACAAACGCCTAGTTGGTGCGATCGAATTTTTCAAAACTTGCTGTTTACTGGGGTGTGTATGTGTGAATGTGTTTATTTGGAGAGAAAGAATGTGTGAAAGGAGATGGGGAAGGGTTGGGAATAAATACCTTGGCATCTCGAAGCTGTGCGAAAGTGTCCACTATGATACCAAAGACGATATTCAGCACGATAGTGGTGATTAGGATGAAGAACGTCACATCAAATACCGTCACTATGATGACATCAGTATAGTCAGACGTCATTAAACCTTCAAAGGTCTGAAAAATATCAACAAAGAAATAACTCAATATTTATATAAAGGAAGAAATGACATACGTTTGGCATCTTCCTTTTTATCATAAGTTACATGTTTGACACATATATTTGCAGTATTAATTGCACTTTGCTGAGATTAGTTTCATCGCAAAGTTCCCAAAATTACATTCTTGTATTATACATTCACTATTATCATGAAAAGGATATTACAACAAAGGAATACCGTATAAGGTGTGTCAACGAAGCCATGGTGAATCATGGTGATAAAACACTGGTAAACTGTTCGACAATGGCGTCCGTTCGATTCCTGGAAGAAGGACTCTCGTAACACAGCAAAGGCCACCAATGAGTAGCAAAAAAATAAAGCCAAGCCAAGAAGGGCAACCATCAACAATGCTTTACCTGAAAAGTATGTGTATAATACCATTTCATATATTGGAAGTTATATTTGAAAAAAAGTTCTATAATACACGTACCAGAATGTATAAAAGTACAAACATAAATACTTTTTTATTTTGACAATTACATGTACTGTAGAAGTACTTTTTTCCGCGTGGTATTTATTTACGCTAAATACGCGGTCACAAAATTTCCGCGGAAATTTGTCCAAGCGTACTTAATGTAAACGTAAGGCATAAAGTGACAATCTAAGAAATCTGCGTAATTTTCTACCCGCGGATTAAACAGAAATTAAGATTCCGCGGAATTATGACCCCGTGGAAAAAAGTACGTTTACAGTATTTGCTTAAATTTCCGTTATTACGGAAGATCATTGCTAAAAAAAATTCAATCTCGCGTATTTTTATTTAACAAGGTTTTTGTAAAAAGTAGAAGATTTGGGAAAATTTTTTTCATGCTTACAAATAACAGAAAACTTTAGTGTAAATATTAGGTCATCAGAAGTGTTGTGAGCTACAGTTAATTTCCACTTAAAGTCTACCTCAATGATTAAAAAACGCGTTTTCCTTTAAGTAAAATATCATACGAGAAATCTAATAATGTACAAACGAATTTATAGTTTCTTGCCATTGGTGGTAACAGCCAGTCTGACTCTCTTCAGTAGCGGATTTAATTCAGCCAAATGAAGCAAGTGGAATGAAAAGAAATACCCGTAGTAAATGGTGCCTAGAATGGAGCACACGAAAAACAGCTGGAAAAGAAGTTAATCTTATTAAGGCAAGCTGAAAGATAAGTAATTTTATCATTTCATGCGATAAAATGAAGCAAAACTTTAATATTTTATAAAAATTATTATAATAAAATTATAATAAATTTGAAAAACAAAGAATTCCGATGAGGTATTTAAAAAAAACAAAGTGAGTAAATAATTCTTAAACGCTCAATCAAAAAGGAAATTAACAAGTATATAATATTATACATACTTATAAGAAATAATGGATTTATCGACAGTTGGACGTGCTATCGTTCAAATGACAAATATTGTGAGAAAAAAATAGTTAATTCTTTATAAATCGATATCAATAATACACATTATACTATTCAAATAGTTTCTTACGAAATAATAAACTGTGTATATGTTGTAAATTTCAAACTTAAGATGTGACTGGTCTTTCTTTTCATGCCATGATCTGACGTCATCATCATCGTCATCATTAGACGACCTGAAAAAGATGGCGAAAAACATGATCAATTGGTTACAAATAAATACTGTTTTATTTCTCAATCTTCTAATCATACACAGGAAGATTACTTCCCTATTTTCCTTTTACATAAGATACAAAGTAATGAAAACTCACAATTTCTTTTTGAGCCAGTTGTATGGCGGGAACGTAGGTTGGTTAGAAATTAAAAAGGTCACCAACATACACAGGCTAAGGAAGTTGTGCATTCCTCCGAATATGTACAAAAACATATAGTACGTATTGCTATTTACGGTAAATTCCGGGACTATGCTACAAGAAACAAAAATTAAATTTATAACATTTTTCCATCCAAAATAATTTTGTTATAAATGGAATAGTCGGAAAAAAAGTTACCTTCCCGTGTTGGAGGTTCCATTCGCGTTTTTGGGGTCTCTCCACGTCACCATGATGACAGAGCTAATGATGAAACTCAAAAGGAGGACGATAAAGTTCATGGGAAGCCTATAAATAACAACACAAAAATCGGTGAAGAAGATGGAAAGTTCGAACTTTCGAACGATTACCGGTATATTGTTCAGTGAAAAAAAAATATGTGAACATTCCAAACAGTTATAAAAATTCCTAAGAGCAAAAAATAATTCCTTTCTAGATATAGTAATTATTCAAATAGGGCTAAATTAAAATGTCTAAAGATGTCCATTTTCGATATCGTGGTAAAACGAAACGTGACCCGTTTTCGCTAGCTAAGGGTTAAGCGATTATGAGAGGGAGTAGTGTATCAGAAACCCTTGGCAAGCTAAGATTAACGTGACCATACACAAGAGAAATGTCGCTTTCCTTAATTTTAATCTGATAAATCTCTAGTTTTTATTATGACTGACCACATCTTGAGTAATATCCTTCCCACAATATTGGAGTGGATCTTTCGTTGATATTTGATGTCCTGAATAATATCGCTGGCCCAGTCCATTAAATCCCTTATTTTGTTCCTTGGGGACGTTCTGTCCACCTCGTACTTAAACTTTTCTTTGATCTCTTCTCTAAGCACTGTCTAAAGAAATCCAAATAGGGGAAATTTACGATGGCCGATAACAGCCATGACAGTTTACATACAAATTTAAGGGTAGCGTGTCAGTGAATTGTTTCGCATGGCAATCTAACCTTAAAGCAAAGTGGCAAAATGTACAAGCTGTCATTCCGTGATGTCAAGTTACTGTGGCATGATATACACTTTGCTTTTCGTAAAGTGTACAGCGTGTTCATACAACTTTGCTTCATGGCACTCTACTCTTAAGTGCAATTAAAATACTTTATATCCAAAAAACAAATACATTTGTATATGACAAAAAAATCATTCCTGCTGCACAATATGTCATAAATAAAGGTCTAAAAAATAAACTTTATTTGCTTACCTTATCTTTGACTCGAAAATAAACTTTCTGCAAGGCATCATCTTTCACAATCTCGATGGACAAACTACTGGCTGCATAGTAAGCCCAAGCCGCTTTCTGTTTTTCTGTTTTTAACAAGTCTGTAAGTATTAAAGTACAGAGAGAAATTTAAAAATACTACGATTGTATATTGTTTTAACGTCCCTCTCGAGAATTTTTCACTCATATGGAGACGTCACCGTATGCCGGTGAAGGGCTTCAAATTTTGACCTTTACTCGGCACTCAGAGCCACTGAGCAATGAGGGATCTTTATCGTGCCAGCGCCTGCCGCTGACACGGGGCCTTGGTTTTTAAGGTCTCATCCGAAGGACCCGCAACTTTCACTTCAAAGTGCCGAGCGCATGGCGAAGGAACAGTTGCTATCCATTTTTTATCGACTTAGGTCAGTCGTGGCCGAGATTCGAACTCACGACCTCCCGATCACGAAGCGAGCGCTCTACCGACTGAGCTACCGTGAACGGTAAAAATACTACGAATAAGGTATTTAAAGGAGACGTGTAATGCTGCAGCATTTCTTTCAAGAAAAAACAAAACAAAAATTGTCTAATTAAATGATGAAAATATGGATGTGATTTTTTTTTTGAAAAACAAGAGGCCAATGGGCCACATCGCTCACCTGAGAATCTTTGACCATTCTGTTTTTTTACCAGATTTATTGTGACCCCACTTTACCCCAATGATCATAATTTAACCAATTTGAAATCTACACTACCCCAGGATGCTTCACATAAGTTTCAGCTTTTCTGGTCAAGTGGTTCTTGAGAAGAAGATTTTAATGATTTTTTCTACATATTTCTATATAAAACATTGATTCCCCATTGTGGCCCCGCCCTACCCCCGGGGGTCATAATTTGAACAATTTAGAATCTACACTACCCCAGGGTGCTTCCACATAAGTTTCAGCTTTTCTGGCCCAGTGGTTCTTGAGAAGAAGATTTTTAAAGATTTTTCCTATATATTTATATGTAAAACTTTGATTCCCCATTGTGACCCCGCCCTACCCCCGGGGGTCATGATTTGAACAATTTAAAATCTACACTGCCCAATGGTGCTTCCACATAAGTTTCAGCTTTTCTGGTCCAGTGGTTTTAATAAGATTTTAAAAAGATTTTTCCTATACATTTCTATATAAAAATTTGATTCCCCATTGTGACCCTGCCCTACCCCCGGGGGTCATGATTTGTTCAATTTAGAATTTACACTACCCCAGGGTGCTTCCACATAAGTTTCAGCTTTATTGGCCCAGTGGTTCTTGAGAAGATTTTTTTAATGACCCCACCCTATTTTTGTCTTTTCTTGATTATCTCCCCTTGTGAGGGGATTTGGCCCTTCATTTTAATAATTTAAATTCCCCTTTACCCAAGAATGCTGTGTACCAAGTTTGGTCAAAATTGGCCCAGTGGTTTTTGAGAAGAAGTCGAAAATGTGAAAAGTTTACAGACAGACAGACAGACAGACGGACGGACGACGGACAAAATTTGATCAGAAAAGCTCACTTGAGACTTCGGCTCAGGTGAGCTAAAAAAACGAAACTAATTTTCCAGAATATTTCTGTCCAACAGTTAACATACCCAGTCCCCAATCAATCAAGATATACTATTGGTTATATTGACTACATAAGTAATGTTTATTTGCATAAAAACATACTGTCTCTACCTAAACTTGGGTCCATATCCATTTCACGGCACAGAATATGAAAGTAAGCGAATCCTGTACTCTCGATCAAATCATAGTGTTCCTCAAATTCTCTGCGATCATTCTGAAATTGTTTATAAAATAAATAGTTTAATGAAAAGGAATCAATTACGGAATTGCAATTTGATATTGAGTATTATTTTACAAAGAACTGTTGCCAATTTAATATGAATCAAATATCAAATGGTGTAATAGTTAGGAAACAATCTTTATGAACTATCTCTCAGAGCAAAATGCAACATGCTGAATTAATAAAAAAAAATCAAATAATGTTAACATTTATCTAAGTAAAGTGTATGAGCATGAAATCCTGTAGCTTGATTTGCGTTTTTACTAGTCTATTCATGTACCATGAAATGTCATTCACATCACAAGCTGTACTTAGCAAATTACAAGGAAAATTATTTACAATTAAAAAATTTATATGTTCATGCACTTGGATAAATGCAGTTTTCTTCAGAATCACTTTTTTAACTATTATAAATGTATAAAAAAAAATATATTACAAAAAATCGAACAATTGGATTAAATTATTCCTAAGTGCACATAAAAGCAAACATTGGTGTTTTTTGTTTTGAGTCAAATGAAAACTCTATAATTCAAAGCTACACTTGTTTAACGGAGAGCACATATGTGTAACCAAAGACTAACATTGTGAAAACGCACATTTTTGTGCAATTAACGGGATTTTTATAAAAAAATCAAAAAATATTTTTATACCTTAGATGAACGAGATTTGTTCATACGCTATAGCAGAAACAATGAACAAAATAATCAGGCTAAATATTTCTTTCAATAAAAAGTTCAAAATTAGCAATGGATGTATTCAAACTTTTATGAATCTTAACTACAATGTATTTTTACCATGATCTCAAAATAGGCTTTTGTCATTGTGTTGACGCAATGGTCCTCATCAAGATATTCCATTACTTCCTGTACATAAAAGTTTCATAAATATAGTACATTATGCTTAAAGAATAGTTATTTAAAATTTCGTTTGTATTTAATTAAGTAAAAAAAAGGTCTTTAATTTCATTTAAACTAGAAAATATGAATTTACGTTTTTCCACATATTATTCACTAATGTTGAACTGAAAATAACCATTCAAATAGTAGTACACATATACAGCAATTTTTTTTCTGAAACATGCATGGTTATATATTAAGTACAAAAGTAAAAACACTCAAGAATAATATACTAATATCAAAAAAGGAATAAAAACAAAGGACAAAAAATTCAGTACCTTAAAGCCTGATACCTCGGCTTTGTACTGTTGAAGGAAACACAGATAATACAAAATACATTGGGGGAGATTTGAACAGACAGACAATAGGCATTAGAAGCAATTGGAAAGAAATTGTTTCTGGCACAAACTGGAAAAATGAATACTAAGATTATATGGTCTCTGAATTAATTGGAGAAAAGAAGGATCTTTTTTTGCAAAAACATCCAACACTTTCTTGACATTTACCTTCTACTCAACAATTCCTTTAAATTATATTTAGCCCATTTTAGATTATATCTTGAAATTATTTTTGATATCAAAGACCATAGTCTCTTCTTCAATCGAAACATTGCTGGGCATTTTCCGGGAATAGCAAATCGGAAAAGAACCTTCAATGTTTCCATTGAACAAATACAAAGGAAGTTAAAAGGGTGACAACTCTTACCTGGGTTGTGCTCAGTTCATGGCGGCGTATTTCGGTATTCAGACAAGTATGGTTCGAAAGTTATTATTATTTCAACTTAGAGTTATTTCCCTAATATTTCATTACACTTTCCATGAAAACTACAAACTTAATAGTCATAAATTTCTTACCTTTGCCATGATTTCTTCATCTTCATCCGAGGAATTTTCTTCAATCAGAGATCGTATAAGCACTGCTATAGACCTTTTCAAAATATACTTCTGAAACAATAATCATCCAATCATCCTTCATTAAAAATAATAAGATATATATCGGCTTCACCGGTCACCTGAGTATAATACAAAACTGGATCCTCTGTAGTGTAAAATAAAGCAAAGTAAACAGATAGAGTTTTTTTTAAAAAAGTTTCTCAAAGGTTTATCTTGATCTTTGAGGCGCTTATTGACCACGAAATTTTCAGTTTTTACATGTACCCCCAATTGTTCATTAATGTCATATGGCAAAAATTCGCTGAAAATGCACAAACAGACAATTGAAAACAGAGAAATAGGTCAACTATTGACTCAGATGACCCAAAATTGAATTAATTTTATAATTGTTTGTTGGCAGATACCTCTTTGAGCCCACAGCCTGGGAAATTGTCTGTCCTTAGTATGTGGTTGATGTAATCACACACCTTGTTTTCAAACACTACTGACTGGTTTTTCTTATTGCCCTATAAAAAGATTCACTGTGTATTAGAAAGATATCATGAAATTTGCAGACTTTACTTTTTAAATTCAGAGAACTAATTGATTTAAAATATTGAAAATATACGATTTACCGATGTAAATTCCACCAATGTGTCAAAGAGCTGCACCACTAACGGCATGGTTCTCTCGTTGATGTTAGAGTATAGGATGTTGAGGAACTTTGTTGTTTCTGCCACCAGGTTTACTGACTTGATGTTGTCATATTGCTCTCGTATGTAATTCTAAAGTAAGCAAATTATTAAACACTTCATGTGGAATCATCTCTGTGTGTGCTTGGGGAGCAATATACAAGGGTTTTAATGGTCACCTTAATCTTCACAAATCCTCACAAAAATTTCTGGTCAATATATCAATCAATTGACTAGTCTGTTAAAAGTGGTAACTCATTATATTACATTCATACAACCAGTAAACTTTTGGCTTCTTTCGAACCTTGACCACAGAAATTAAGTTTACTTTAAGTTACCTGAAGTTCAAAGTGCTGGTTATCACACATCAATCCGAGCATACGAAGTACTAGTTCTATGTAACCGTCATCTCTGAACGTGAAATCTCCAGTCATGCTCATAGCGGCTCCCATTAACTCTTTTAATTCTTCATCATCCACTTTCTACAATTTATAATATATGTTTGTGTTTTATTTCGTGATTTTAAAATGTCATTTTTCTCGGTCTAGACTGTTTAATTTTTTTCTATTTGGCAATACAAAAATTTCATCTCATTGTACAATTCTAATGCATTTCTCTTACATGTGATATTTTGTAAATGATTTACAAAAAAATATTGTCAAAAATCATAATCGGTATTATTAGCTCACCTGAGCGGAAGGCTCAAGTGAGCTTTTCTGATCAAAATTTGTCTTTTGTCTGTCGTTGTCGTCGTAAACTTTTCACATTTTCACCTTCTTCTCAAGAACCACTGGGCCAATTTCAACCAAACTTGCTACAAAGTATCCTTGGGTAAAGGGAATTCACGTTTGTTCAAATGAAGGGCCACGCCCTCTACCAAGGGGAGATAATTATGAATTAGTGAAAATTTAATGGAATTTTAAAAAAAATCTTCTTCTCAAGAACCACTAGGCCAAGAAAAATGAAACACATGTGTAATCATCCTCAGGTAGTGTAAATTCAAGTTTGTGAAACTTATGTGGAATCACCCTCAGGTAGTGTAGATTCAAGTTTATTCAAATCATGACCCCAGTAAACTTTTGAATATAGAAATCTTTTTAAATCTTCTTCTCAAGTACTTCAAAGCCATGATTAGTGATATTTATATGGAATCAACCTCCTTAGTGTAGATTTTAGTTTGTTAAAATCATAACCAACTGAACACTCCCCCCTCCTAGGGAAAGGGTGGGGCCACAAAGGTCGATCAAAGTTTTACTTAGAAAAATAAAGGAAAATGAGATAATGGAAAATCCCAAGAACAGAAAAGCTATGTTTAGTCATATTAAAATGTAAGCATCCTCATTTATTGAAGATTTGAATTTGATCAAATCATGGCGGTTTGGGGTATGGGGGGGGGGGTAGGACACCCCTACCCCCTCCCCACATTAGTAAACTTTTAAAAATGGTTGAGAGAGGCCTGTAAAAATGGTTGAGGCATGTATTCATACCTCGATTTGAATTTCAGGAGTATTTTCCATGGGTGCAACCTTTGATTTTGGATTAGAGAAGCTATTTGGAATGCCGTATACTTGAAGTGTGGATTTCTGGACGTCATTTACATTCAGTGTTGGAGGCTGAAGAAGAAGGTTACCCATCATTGTGTTCTCTCGACTGAAACCTCCACCGAGTTTAGCTTTGGAGCCGAATTGCGATGGTGGTCTAGAAGCTCCGGACAAAGCAAGCTGTGGAAATATAGTATGTATCAAAATGCAATTCAAACGCCTTCTCTCACAATAAGAATTTTTCAAAAACTTCAGATACACTGTACTTATCTGTAATGGAAACATAAATTCTAATTGTACAATAGTTTTATAAGTAAAAAAAATTAAATCTTACCATATTATTTCCCGGACCGAATTGTGCCATTGATGTTTCTGCCATAGACATCATAGATCCTATCCTATTGGCCTTCAATATTTCCTGAAATATCCAAGTAATCCGTTATTAGAATTTAATATGGTATCAGGTTTATTGGTACGTTGAAGAAGCAGAGAAACTGATCACATTTGTTCAATTGCATAATTATTTTCAAACGTCAAGAAAATGAATTCAAAAATTGTAAAATATAAGTATATTACCAAATGCGCCATTTTTCCAGATGCCATGGCTTTCTGTAAAACTTTAGCCTGTTGGACTGCCTCATCAACCTTTGACTGGTACATCGCGTGCAGTAGCCGTCTGTCATTATAAAAACTTAGTCATAACACTGTACCTTTTCATTGTCTGGATTTAATATATCCAACTTATGAATTAAAAAATTGTAATTTTACACAAACAAAAAGAAAATTAAATTTACTTTTCTCGTGTAGCAATGGCAGACATCTGCATGCGAGCCTTTAAGGTAAAGAAAAACGACTCTTCTCTGGTACCCGTGAAATACTCATAAAGTTTTGTCTACAACGGAACAAAATTTATTACACTATAAACTATATATATACACATTAGTGTTCCATAAATATATTCTTAAGAAACTCACGTTTGTCTCAGAACAGAAGTTCACATAAATCTAGTTGCTTCTCATGTGACTAGAGTCACTCTCTAAACAAGCAATGATCAGTTCTTGTATTTTCTTTATATTAAAAGCATTTCTACCTGCACATTTTCGTTTCCATTATAGAGTAGCATGCATATAAAGGACAGAGTTTCCCGGACCACATCATCTTGGGGACGATTCAGGTGTATCATGACGCTGCTAACAACATCGAAATGATTCAGGGCATCCTGAACGTCAGAAATAGCCTTCAGTTTTCTACAACACGAAAAAGTCGTATCTAAAGTAAAGGTTTCATATGTATCAATGTATTAGCGTTAATTGTATTGAAACTTAAAAAATAAATTCGCAACAAACAATTTATTTTGTAAGATCATACTTCATAATTTGTAAGTTTGTTTTCTTTGTGTTCATTAATTCTTATTCAAAATTTAAGAAAAAAGATATTTGTCAATGAATATAAATTTATCAAATTATAGGAATTCTACTCCCATACACTTTTTCCTCATGTCTTGAAATAGGCGCTTTTTCAATATTTTTAGGTTAAATACTAGTTTACATGAAAACAAACGTGAATATGAATCTTTTTGATTCATAACAGCTACAATTGCCAGTATCTTTCCTCTGAGGAAGTATCAAAATGTTGTAAATTAAAAGTCTTTTCACATCAGACTCACTTCCGATGGGCGGATATATCCGCTTCCCAGTCATCTGGAAGCTTGACCACCTCGTTATAAATCATAGCTCGCAGAAGCTGCAGACATTTAACATCTAGCTGCTCTTGTTCTACCTTTTCTTCTTCGCTGAGATGTGTTAACTGTTTTGATATTCTGGTAAGAAAAAATGTATTTTGTACACAAACATTCTATTGTTAGTTCCTTTATAAACTTTATGGAACTAAAACGAAAACGATTAATAAGTCATTTATCTGACAAAAATTATTGCTCATTTAGATTAACTTGATAAATCGTGTAAATTAAAAAAAAAGTACAGATGTCCATAATTCGTAACATTTTCTCGCCTTATAAAATGTGTGCATATTTCTTAACAATTCTGCTCAGTGGAGTTTCAAAAATTCATATGGGACAAATTGTGGATACATAATACTTTTTAACCAAGAAGTAAATATACATGGCTGTATTCACAATTATACAAAAATTGTATATTTCCTGCAAGATTTCAATTATTTTAAATTTATGTCAGAGAATTAAGATATATTTAAAAACCCGTACTCCAACTGTCTATTTCCTGCAAGATTTCAATACTTTCAATTTTATGTCATAGAATTAAGATATCTTTAGTTCTATCTTTAAATACCCGTACTTTAATTGTCTAATGAGTTTTTTGCTCATCTGATAACGTTTGTTTGGATTTTTTGTGCTAGGATCCATGAAGCACTTTAGGTGATCTTGAAACTCCTGACCCAGAGGTAGCTCTTCATCCCCACCGACCTCCGAATAAACTGTAGTAAAGAAACAAACATCTCTTAGTTTGGAAAGT